ATGAGAATAGCTCAGAGAAGAATCCAAGAGGGGATCCAGGCAGAACCAATGGCTGGAATGTGCTATCAACCCCTCCTCAAACCTCTCACCTTTACAGCCAGCTGGAGAAACCACAGAGATGCATGCAAAGACTAGGGACTGCAAGGGCACTCAGAGTACTTGGTCTGTGCTCAGCTGCACTGGTCACGTGGTAGCAGCCACTCAGCAATGGAGAGCCTGCAAGTCAGGTTCGAGCCGAGTTCACCCCGTATCTCTGCAGAGGACGAGCAAATCATCTCCACATGGGCAAAAGGAGAGTGTGGAGGAGAGGGGAAGGCTGCCAGCGCAAGGCTGCGGTTCAGATCCCTCTTGACAGCTCCCCAGCAGCCCCCGCATTGCCTGTCATTCCACAAAACAAACTTCAAAGTAAACAAGGCGCCCAGGACTGGGCCGTTGCAGCCACTCTATCATCGTTCAGGAGTATTTTCCTTCCTCCCCCCTCCTGAGCCATTGCTGTTTGATAGCATTTACACGAGCTGCCCAGAGCAGGATTTACAGGGCAGGTGCCTGAGCAAAGCACAGGAGAGCTGGCTGGGCCCCAGGCAAAAGGGGAAGAGGAGAGTTTCACAAAAGCCTTCAGATTGTGGTTTTATATGATAGGGACCGCAGAGCAACATCCATCTTCAGGCTTAACATTTCATCTCTAGATCAACAGTCCGTTCCTTCCCCCACGTTCAGCTGCAGCTGCTGGCTTATCTCTCCATTAAAGCATTTTCCTCTTATTGCGCAGTTCACATGAGGAGGAATAAATGCCAGATGGGTCTCCCCTCCAGGTCACCATGCTGCAGCCACGATCTAAGCTGCGGCCCAGGACGACACTGAATTCTGCAGTCTTGGATTAATCACTGGCCAAAAACAGGAACTTTGGGAGAGTCAAGGCCAAGAATGTATACTCTGGGGGACAAAATTTCCAAACAGGAGGACTGAGAGTATGCCTCCCTGGAAATTCCCATCCTGGAAGCAGAAAGGTGCTGAGGGCAGAAGCCTTCAAAAGCGCCTGCAGGACCACCTCTCAAAAGCACTTAAGAAACCAGACACCCTAAGGCGTGTTTTCAAAATTGGCTAGGGTACTTAGGCGCACAGTGCTAAAGTGAAACAGAGTAGACAGGGTCCTACAGACCAGCTCTGAACAGTGTCTGCACGGCTGAATTCAGCACTTCCCCAGAGAAAGCAGTGTGTTCATGTTATCCTGCTGCTGTGCTAAGAAGGCTGCACAGCCTCCATTTCTGGAGAAGTTTGGGGACTGTTCATCATGTAGATACAACCTCTGGAGCCTAAGGGTCTAGGGCAGTTCTGAATATGGCCCTGCATTTCCAGACATCCTTAGAGGCTTGTTGGATTGGCTAAAAACAATGCCTAAGGCTGAGGTCTCCCCAGCACTTATTCCAAAGTCCCATCATTAGCTTTTGTTCAAGCAGCCAACTCCAGCTGTCTAGAGGAGGAGAAGGTGCTCTTTATAGATCAGTTTTGAAAACATGTTTGTATCTGAATACACATAATTACACTGGTCAAATCCACTCCAACGACTGACTCCTGTCGGTCTGCACAGCAACCAAAGTCAAGACCTTGCTAAGGTCCATCTTGTTTGGTTTGGTAGCTGCTACAAAGCATCCTGTGATGCTCACCCTCACGAAGGGGTGGTGTGCACCCATGCTATGGTCACATTGCCTGTCCTTCCTTCCCCCGCCAAGCTGTGGCTGTGCCTGCCTGGCTCTTTGTTCGTGCCCCTCTCAGCTACCCTGGGGAAGCGGGCAAGCCCTGGTATTTTTATTACCATTCCCAATGCTGCCAAGTGCTTGCGTCACAGGCAGGGAGGAGGCTGCGCTCTCTCTTATGAAACACAGAGAAGATAAGATTGGACAGTTAAGAAAAGTCTTTAGAGGATTCTGCCAAACTTCAGGAAACTGGTGGAGCGCCTTCCCAGCAGCTTCCTTGGATGCCTGTGTACTCTGTCACCACCACTTGCTTGTCCCAGCGGCACCAGCCACAAGAGGTCACGACCAGACGCACAGATCCTAGCAGTACTGTGCCCCCAGCCCCAGGCATGAACCAGACACCCCAAACGTTATGTCATGTGTTCATATTGCAGTGGAGGTCTCAGCATGGGAAGGCTGAGCCAGGAGTGTGTGTAGGAAGTATTCGGTGTTGTGCCGACAGGCGGTCCCTATCAGGACCAGGGAATCATCCACATCGGCATCAGCCCTTCCTGCAGACACCAGCTGACCCGCCTGTGTCACCTAGTTCCTCATGCCTGTCCTGGCTGCCTGGCAGCAATGGCATTGCTAGTTGCTATGGTGACAAGCAGGAAGTCACCAAGGCCAGGCAGAGCTGGCCAGCTCCAGAGAGCTGCCCACCACAGACAGGGCAAGGAGAAGCTCGCAGCATCTTCTGGTGTGTCTGAAGTTTGCCAGAGTGTCACTGTGGTTATTTAACTCTCTTGTTAGAGGCAAAAAGCAACTGTGCAGCCTTTGAGCCATCCCTTGCCATGCTGCAAGGCAGGGGGAGCCAGCAGTCAGTGTGGAGCAATTTCAGTTGTTACAGACAGGATCAAAGGGCTTCATGCTGGGAGAAAACCTCCTGCAGGATCTACCCTGACCCGCTCTGTGGAGCTGTGCCACTTGGCCAGTGCAGTAAGACACGAGGCTGCGGTGCTGGCTAATCATTCAAAGTCTTGCTAGAATGAGCAAACCATGCACTCCCTTCAGGCTCTTCCAGCTTATCTCTGTTCCTGATATAGTGAAGGAAATGCACGAAGGGGATGGCCAGAGGAGGGATCCCTCACCACTCAAGCTCAGAGCTGTCAGGGCCAGGGATCAGCCTTGGGGAAACCAGTGGCCTCTTGTACCGCATTATTCAAAAAGGAGCTGGCCATCTGCAACCTGGGTGCACAGTGGCTGCCAGGGGAAAGCAGAATTGGGGAGATAAGGCTGTCCTCACTGGGCAGCCCCTCTCCTGGTCCTCCCCACCTCATTTCCAGCTGCAAGGCTGTGCTTCCGGGCTGCAAGAAATGTGAATTTACAAAAAGCAGCCCATTGGCAAGGCCAGCAGCCAAGAGCTGGGAGATGGGGTCACAGGCTCCCTAGACTTCCTGATGCCCGCTCTGAAAAGGAAATCACCATCATTTGGACAGAAGCAAAGGGCAAAGGCTCAATTTTTCCATCAGAGGGAGTTAGAGTGGAGGGGAAAGGATTTGCCCGAGGTCACAGAGCCAGTCAGTGGTAGAGGAATGAGATTTTCAATCCTGTGTTTACCTCCCAACGCTGTCCTGATAGTGTGAGAAAAGCTAACAGAAGTATCAGTGTGGCTTGTTAATGAAAGTACGTTTATGACCAGACAGTGTTTCTAAAAGGCAAGAAAAGCTTCGCTACTTCAGTGTTGGGGCAGGGTGCTACCACATTGCCATCTAAGGCATTGCTGAAATTCAGGGATGTCTCCTCAACAGTGCAGGAGACATTGTACTTCGAGTCTTGCAGGCAATACTGAGTTTGGGGTAATTACAACGCCCTTGAAAACATGGCCGAGATAGATGTCTTTACTTGCTAATTGCAGAGCCTGCACCCTTTCGTTGACTCCGTTTTTCTCTCTTTCTGTTTCTGTGCTCTTTTTAATATTGTGGGTACAATATGTCTAATGAGGTGGAGTAATCATTTTGGCTGTGATGTTGTTACGCTCAATGACAAAAGCAGAAATGGGTGTAAGCAGGCTATCCAGGGACTGCCAGGCACATAGACATTTACAGGTGACAAAGCATGACTCATGATCTCTACATCCCATTTTAGCATCTACTCCAGCTGATCAAGTCAACCTAAAAAACTGTTTTTCAATCTATATTTTTCTGAGGATTTAACAATGGCTAAATTTTGTCAAATCACATAGCACAGAGCGTAGTCCAGCGATACACAGCTGGTTCACCAGCTATCCTACAGTCCCTCCAGGGACCTTCCATACTGTAATTTTAGGGATGTCTTCTTCCATATTGCACAACTACAACTGAGCTTTACACTTACAAAATGCCTTTAGTGCTACCAGCACACAGGCCACTTCCCTGTGTTCAGGTCTGTCCAGATTCACTGACATTTAGACACCTAATTTGATCTATACAACTAAAATCATACAAGAACCAGAGGAGCAGAGCAGCCCAGTCTTCTTTTCCTGAAAGTACTAGTGAGCTGCTCAAAAGCCACAACTCAGGGGTGTACACTCCTGTTGAGAGTATATGACCACAACCACAAGCAAAGCAGAGCGGAAGTCCAGCGCCCTGGACGCAGCAAGAAGCCTGTGCAAAGACAGGCACAGCCACCTAGCATATCCACAGACTTCTGCTCCCTTGCACCAAAGAGTGGGAGCTGGCTCATGAGCTCTGAAACATCCAGATGCAACAGCACACATTGCTTTCTAGCAACTCGCAGTGTCATCTTTATAGGACAGCATGCCCACTTCTGTCCCCACACGTTCTGTTCTTCTTGAGCCACTCTGTGTTCAGGGACTTTGCTGCAAAGTGTCCAAGCTCCCTGCTGACAGCTGCTCCTCCTCAGTTTAAATCTCACTATCTGCTGGACTGCGTGTCCTATGCTGATGTGAGACAAGGCAATGAGCTGGGTGCTGTCACCGTCTGGCTGCCCAGGCAGTCTCTAAGGCTCTGACTTCCCTCATTTCTTGAAAAGGTGTCCCAATAGCCCAGGAAAGCTGTGAGCTACTTTCTTCCTCTGCCCCTTCCATGTCACTGAGTTAAGTCAAGGATAATATTTCGATCCCTGTGTTTGGGCAGCCTCTCCTTCTAGGACACCTCTGCGATACACCTGGCGCTTTCCAGTCTACGTGACACTGATACCATGGTGCCCTTTCTCAGTCCACCCTTCCAGGAACCCACCTTGCAACTGCTCTCTCTCTACCTCAAACATGAAAAGCCGGAGCTGAGCCAAGCGGAAAGCAAAAATCAGAGAAAGTCGGAGGGCACTTACTTTTCATAGTCGTGTTTGCAGTACAGCTGCCGGTTGCGACAGTAGCAGGTGCCAGAAAGCGGCTGCAGGCAGACAGCACATTTCACACAGCCTTCGTGCCAGGAGCGCTCATTGACTCGCAGGAGGAACCGGTCAGAGATGGGGGTGTCACAGCCAGCACACACCTCCCGCATTTTGGAGTCTGAACCTGGGCAGCAGTGAAAAGATGGCTTGAGAAGGAGGTTTCCTTTGCCCAGGGGCATGTTCTGAAGGAATGGTGTCTGCCTTTGGGGAGGGGGCTACGCTCAGCCTCACACAACTGTTTGCTTGCAATTATCTACTGTTTTTTTTAAAGCCACGTGGTGTTAGTGTCAGTCATCAAGCATGCACAGGAGAGTAAAAAGGGAGGCTCTGCATGGAGTTCATTGTAACAACCTTGAAAATAAATGTAAAAGTTTGCTCTGCAAAACATGAAAAAGCAGCATGTTCTGGGCTTCTCTGCGGTTTCCAGGTGGTAAATTACAGATGAATCAAAAGTCCACAGCTATCGCATTATTTAAATTGCAGAGGATGTGGATAGGCAGATTTTAGAGAGCACGCATGCGCATGCTTGGGAACTGGGGAAAAATGTGAAGCAGATCCATTTATGTGTGTCTCAGCAGGACACGGTGGGTGCTGAGCTGCTTGGATCAGGTCAGAGGACAGATCTGGATCTGAATTCTACCCAATTGCTCCCTGGACCTGGTGCTAAGCTGCTTAAAACAGAAAAAGCTCCAGAGATTTGGGATTTTTTTCCCCTCAATGTTATCAACATGCAAATCTATGGCTGCCCTTCAAAGGCTTCTTGATGATAACTTCAAGGTAAAGGAGTGAGTAATAAACACACTATCTGGTGCACTGGATCTAGGTTATGGGCTGAGCCAGGTAGAGACACCGTCGTCGATCTCTACGACCATTGTGCCAAGTTCCTGGGGTTTTATGAGTGCTTACCTCTGTCCTCTCCCTCTGCAGCCTCTCGATTCTTTTATCCTCATGTAAGCGTGTGGGTCCTGGGGTAACACCTGCCCAGGCCCTCTTGCAGGGCTAGGAAGGATGATGGCTGGTTACATGGGTGAAGCTTAGGTGTATTTTAAAAGGCAGGGTCAGGTGTAGGGCTCCAGCAGCTCCGTGCCTGGCAGTGAACTATCCAGGGAAGCTAGTTGAGCTGAGCCTTTGAAGAATGGGGGACTGACGGGCCCAGGCCCTTGGGGAACGCTAAGCCTAGCCCTAACGGTGGTCAGTGTCCCAGTGCAGAGGGTCAGGAAGGCTTGTGCTGGCCTCTGCCCAAACAGGAATTCATCTGCATCAAAAACAACAAGCGACTGTGGCAGATCTACATGGCAGAAGGCACGTTCCAAGTGGAGAGCTTTGTACCCCTACACAAGGCTGGAAGACACACAGGAGCCCTGCCCCAGTAGGATCTCTGTAGAGACCACAGTAGCAAAGGGAATTTCCCGCTTCTACAGCAACGTATGCAGCATACAGAGGCTTCCCAGGCCTGCAGAACTCATGTCCAAGGCTCAGCGAGGCAGCCCTTACACCTGACCACAGTCCTCCAGTGATTAAGAGCCCATGCAGACCCCAAATCAGCCCATCAGCAACTTGCCTTCAGGCTTCTTGGACTCAGCAAGTTCAAATCGTCTGCCACAGGTGACAGGAGGACTGCAGGCTGGCATCAAACAGGCAGGACTACCACAGTGATGCAAGATGCAGGGAGTCAGAAGGGCTCCACTAATAAGAAGCTTTCTAAACACCTGCCTTGTCCAAGTTTAGCTGCAGCCAAAGACAGACAACTTCGCAATGCCCTGAGTTCATTCGAAACCATAGCAAACGTAAGTGAGAGTAGCCCCAAGAAGTTTGGATAAAGGCAGGTGGTCCTCTCTGTCTTTAAGGGCACTGCTGTTACCTCAAAGCAGGAGGAACTGTATGCAGTAAGCAAATTTGGCTAATCTGGGCTTGCTATTCTAGCAAGTGCCTCGGACAACTGGACTGTCTTGCATGAAGGCAGCTCTTGCCACGTTTTACTGCTGCACTTGGGTTTGGGCTCTGCATCACCAGGATCCCAGCCAACTCCCCCAACTAAACCTGCAGATATGCTGCCTGGGTAGCGCAGCGAGGAACAAGGTTGCCTGCTTGGCTGCTCAGCATCATTGCCAAAGGCAGCTTGCACTTAGTGGCAAGCTAGGCCCTTTGCAGTTTCCAGATTCAGCACAGGTTGTTAACTAAATGCTGGGGCCTGGAAATCAGAGGGCAGCATCAGCTGGAGAGGAGCAGACCCAAGGGGAATGGCTGAGGCTGCATGGCCAGAGCCGGGGCTCCAGGCATGGGCTGGCAGTGCACAGCAGCCATGGGGAGAACATGGTGAGAGTCGCACTTGAGCAAGTGTGGAAACAGAAACAAACACCAGCCACAACTGCTGCGTGACCCTGTGCGAGTCACTTTGTGATTAGTTCTTGTTTTTTTCCATTTTATCTGGACAGTCTGAGGCATTTTTGACAAAATCAGTTCTATTCGCAGTGTTTTTTGCCAGTGTAACCGTTGGTGAACAGAGCAGGGTTTTATCCATGTAGTTATAAAAGCCTTGCACTACCTGAGAAAGGAAGGACGATAAACGTATCTTGTTGTTTTAAGGGAACTTGGTGTGGGTTCCCCACCAGCATCATTCTCATCAGAATCCTTCACCTTCAGACAAGTCAATTCAGTCCTAGCAACTCCAAGCCAGATCAAAACTGCGAAACCCTAGCAGCTGGGAGAAGATTCCCTGGAAGGGCAGTTTTCAAATGAGGGAGCTTATAAAGAAAGTAATATTTTAAGAGGTTTATTTGTTTTGCATTCCTCTAATGCAAAGGCACCAATTTTTTCCTTATTAAAGAGCAGCAACGGCAAGCTTTTCATGAGAGGAAACGGGGATTTTAGCACAGTAACAAGAAAAAAGAATGTGACCCAGCCCTGGACCTGTCTATTCAGCTAACTTTCTCCAAGCTGCAGGAGGCTGTGCCTGCCATTCATGTACGACTGTTTGTGCTAGAGCAGCAGCACCCTGGTACCAGAGCTATTACAAGAGAGCTGCAATTGTACAGCGTGTAACGGGACAGCTTAAATGTCCAAGGTAATAAGCAGTCAAGTCCTGGCTTAGCGGTGAGCATGTGCAGAAGTTCTCTGCAGAAGGTGGATGCTTTCCCACCTTAGTCAAACCTCCACTTTTAACTTTTTCAATCATTTTCACCCTGCTTGACTTTTACCCCATGGGCTACATAACATCACAGGACCAATCAAACTTCCAGTGGGTGAGTTTAGGGGCATCTGTAGCTCTAACAACCCAAAACTCCTCTTTAAAAAAAAAAAAAGTAGGGAATAATTTAATACCAAATTAGTCTGACAGCAGAAAACAGATATTGAGATAGCCAAGGAAGAGGGAGGTCTGTAAATGTGGGATAATTTTAAAAGCTTTAGGAAGAGTCACAAAACCTCAGACCCAGGGAGGTTCCCCCCTCTCAAGCCTCCCCCCCCCATTCAAAACACACTTTACGTTATATTCAGTAACCAGGCGAGGTGGTTGCCAGGGATTATGGCTTGTGGAATGCAACAGAATCCTGCCCAGTGCCAGCGCATATTGTGACTTGCCAGCACGGGATGCACCGGCAGCGCCTGGGCCTAGGGCCCAGGTTTATTGCTGGACAGTAATTCACACCTGGAGTCTTGCTCAGCACAAGGCCAAGAACACAGCAATTTGTTAACGAAATGCAAGACGAGTGAATGATGCTGTCAGTCCAGGGATGTGAAAAGTCCTGGGAAAACTGCCGATTTGCACGACATCCTACCACAACTAGCTCAGCAAAAAGACTTGAAACTGAAAGTAAAGGAGGTTCTGCCTAACGCTGGCCAAAAGACATCGGGCTTTGGAATCGATCTTAAAAAATACAATAGCTGGAACTAGCAAATATACTAAGAAGAGCAATTTCAACCAACCATGTTGCAGCTCTCCAAGAAAGGGAAAAGGCATGAAGAGGGGGCTAAGAATCAGTGAGTCGCGCAGCATCGATATGGAAGGGAGTTTGCTTTAGAGGCTTCATTTCAGTATTGTTCTAAATCAAACCGTCACTGAGTTGCACTACCCCACAGCCAGACCCACCCAGCGCTCACGTACACCAGAGCAGCCTGCCCCAGCGCAGCCTTGGTGCGGCAACTTCACAACTGGTCTGCAGACAGATATCCCCACTCTAGTTTACAACGTGGGTCAGCAGTCCCAGCTATCATCCATATTCGTGTTGGTCGAAGGCCTACAAACAACAGCCTCACCGTGCGCGGTGGCACTGCATAAAAAGAGCAAAAGGGAACAGGATGAACTGAGGCACAGAGGAGCAAAAGGGACTCGTCCAGGAGGTCCAGGCAGACTAGGGATTGGAGCGTCGGCCTTCCCTGTCCCTTCACTCAGGGCTCCGTGCCCCGTGTCCTGCTAAATCCAGACACTGCGTGCTGTAAGGACAGCCCCAGCCCACATAGCCCCAGCTGCTCTGAGGTTGCAAGATGGCACTTTGCAGCATGCCAGTATCTTGCCATAGCTTTATACGGCTCAAAACTGACAACACGGAGCCAATCTGGCCGAGATGGTGATCCCTGTCCCTTTGTCACATGGACAAGGCCAGGAGAAGGAATCGCCTTCCCAAGCCGGGAAGAAAGAAGGTAGAGGAGCAGGGAGTGCAGCTCACTGCAAACAGGGTCATCCAGGCAGCACAGGGAGCGCTCGGGCAGGACCGAGGGGTCCCAGAGCTACTAGCGGGCACAGAGAAACCCCCGGAGCAGAGCGGACGTAACAACGACAGAGACTGACGAGCAGCCCCGGGCGTTGCCTGGTGGCCCCGGGCTGGAACCAAGCCTGAGGGCTTGGTGCCCTTGCCCCGGGGGGCTCCAACGGCCGGGCCCGGCGTGAGCGCCCTGCTGCCGGGCCCCGCTCCCCCTCTCTCCGGCACTCACCGAAGC